AATATGTGATTGAATTATTTACAATTGCGGTGGCGAGATCTTGACCATTGATTTTTGGGGAATCAAATAATATATTATTAATAAATAATAAATAAATATAAAAGGAAGAAAGAAGATGAAAGGGTGAAAGGATAAAATTGTAGATATATACTTAAATATATTAAATCATCTTCAAGTATGAAGGGGACAAAATCATAAATTATATGAGAGTTACAAAACTGAGGAGGGACTGAGAGGATAAAATTGTAAATATACAAGTAAATATAGTAAATGTTCATTAAGTTTGGGGGGACCAAAATTATAAATTACATGGGAGTTACAAAACTTTGGGAGGGCCACAACCCTCCTCAGCTCTCAAGAAGATCCGATACTAAGTATATATATATATATATATATATATATATATATATATATATATATATATATATATATTGCATATAAGATGATATTCTAATTATGTTTATATGAATTTTGTTTATGAGAATGATGATTCGAACTATGATCATGTTATTGGTGACAAAATCATTAAGAAATATTTTTTATTAAAAAATAATATTTCATCTAATTAAAATTTTAATATTATTGAATTATTTGAATAAAAAAGATTAATTTTATTCAAATGTTTTAAAATTATATTTAATAAGTTATAAAAATACAAGTTATTTATACGTAGATGCATGTTACTAGATCATGGAATAATCAATCATAAATAAAGGGATAACATTATAATTTTATGACAATTTGTGAACTACTGTATTATCAAATTATTATATATGAAAACATGTATCATCCTCAATTAAAAAAATATATGTTAAACAAAATAAAGTAAAATATAGTTCTTTAAAAAATATTTGTGATATAAAAGGTTTGTTTATGAGAAACTTAATACATCTATTTACAAAATCTGTGAAAGAGAACTTTTTGATTCACAAGATTGGTTTTCATTATTTCAATGATAATAGTTTATATGAAAGGGAGAACATATTTTGAAGATATATTGAACAATGATATACTATTTTTCCTTTACTAGATTTTTATCCCATAAAATTTTTGTTAATAAGAATTTAATGAGACATTCTTCAATCATTAGATATCTAAGAAAAAGTATTATGAATCATTATTGACTTGTCTATTGACTTTATTAATCTTTATTATTATTTATATGATTTAAATATGGTACCTTATATTTTATTTAGTGAAATATAACTATATGAATATATTATTTTTCTTCCTTCTTTATATATATATATATATATATATATATATATATATATATATATATATATATATATATATAAATATTATTTTATAAAAATTAAATTTTTTGAGAGTTATTTATTTAAATTTAAACTTATCAAGATTAAGATTCAATAATATACAAGATTTAATCGATTTATTGACATGTTACATCAATTATAACATTATATACAGATAATTTGTAGAATTAAAAAAAATACATATGTAATTGAAATATATTTTACTATATATTTTCAAATAAAAAATATAATATAATATATTATACTATACTATATTATATTATATAATCTTATATAATATAATATTATATAATCTTATATAATATAATATTATATAATCTTATATAATATAATATTATATAATCTTATATAATATAATATAATATTATATTATATTATATTATTTAGAAATACTATTAATTATTGATAAAATTTATACTTTCAAAAAATATTTTAAAACATTAAGTTGAGTTGGAATGTAATTGAGTAAAAGTGTAAATTAAAATTATTTTTAAAATAAATAAAATTCAAATTCTAAAATTGAAATGTCAAAATTAAATTTAGATGAAGCAAGATTAGTGGAACATAAAGACTTGTAACTCAGGCTTGGTAATTCAAATTTGGGAGGTTAATCTAACCAGTTGATAAGGATTAGAATGTATAATCACATAGAGTATATATGATTCAATCAAAGTTAAAGATTATTATTTTAGTTTTAAGTTTAAAAACATTATGATTTTTCATGATTTGTTTCTTATTTACAAAAGGACCCTATTTATTTTTAATGAATTTGATTTTTCTAAAGTGGAATAAATTAAATAAGATTTATTTTTATAATTTATTATATTTGTAAAACTAATATTAATCATTATTTTGTTCTTTAAAATACCATTTCCCATTTTTTAAAAAATTAAATAATTATTAATCTAAGTAAGACGTTATTTATGGTTAATTATTGTTTGTGTAAAATATTCATTCATTTTATTAAGAAAATCTGATTAAGACATTATTATGATTTATATATTTAAAGTATAGTAAATATATGAGAGAAAAAAAAATTATATAGAGAAAGGAAACCTAGAGAAAATGTAATCACATTTACACTTAAAAGATATTAGTAACAATAAAATATTAAGTATATTATGAAAAATTTTATCATTTTATATTAATTAGGAATTGCATAAGAATAAGAATAAAAATAATATTTTTATATAACATATCTTTTTAATATATTATAATACATAACTCTAAAAGAAAACATATAGTTTTTTTTTTCATTATTTGTCTTCAAAAATACAAATCCTATTTGACATATTCTGAAGAAATTCGTAACACATTTATTTTAAATTATAGTATAAAAATATATAAGCATTAAACTAAATTAATCATTTTTTAATAGAAATATAATATCAAAATTAAATTTTTGGATGAAAAAGTAAAAATAATCTATATAATTAATTTATTTATATTAAGTAATAAATATATTACTTAATTAGATTGCACGTAAAATAATTCTACTATTTTAATTTAAATATTTTTTTCTATTAATTGACATTTAATCTAAAAAGAAACTATAAACAAAACAATTATAAAACAGCAAAACTTGCCGTAATTAAAACCAAACATAAATCTAGCAATTCATATAATTAAAACATTTAAATCAATAACTATATAGCAATTTATATACTAAAAACATATTTAAATCAATAATTATGTAGCAATTCCTAAATTAAATGGTATTCAAAACATTAATTGAATTAATATATAGATCTCGTCAAACTTATTAAAAGAGAAGTGTGTTTTCCTTATATTTTTTACCGATTTACTCTGTTATATTTTGAACTTTCTTTGACCAATAACATTATCATTTCTCTCAAATTACACTCAGTTTCTTATTTCATATCCATTTTCCATTTTGAATACCGACTAAACTATCAAAAGGGCTGTACGGTCCTGTTAGACCTGATCCTATAAATAATAATAATAATAATAATAATAATAATAATAATAATAATAATAATAATAATAATCCAATCTTATTTATATTTTAAATTACAAATCCTAAATCCTATATTTTAAAACAATCATAAATTTTAATATAGTTGGACTCTATTTAAGCTAATGAGTTATTTTTTTACATTGAAAATAAAAAAAAATTATAACATGTAACTATAAAAGTAATTTATCGAAAAAAATTTTTTAAATAAAAGATTAAAATAAAAAATATTTAAATAAAATATTAAAAATAAAAAATATTTTTAAATTTAAATTATTTTAATAAAATTAATTTTAATTTTAAATATAATAATTTGATGTATATAAATTATAAAAAACGATTTATTTATTTTATTAAGAGTTAAAAACTTATTTATTATTTTTACTATTAAACTACAAGAAAATCAATAGTAAAAATAAAAAATAAATCTTTTATTGCTATTCTTAAATATAAGTGAATTATTTTTTAAATTGAGAAAGATTCATTTATTAACTTACTTTTTTTAATAATTATTCATTTTTAATAATAATAAAAAAATTAAACTAATAATTTATCTTACTATATTAAAAAGAGTTAATGATAAAAAAATAAAAAATAATTTTTTAACCTCTACTTTTATTCATAAAATAAATTGATCCTTAGTAAATAATTATAATAAATAAACATATATTTTTTAATAAAATAATATTTTAATATATTTAAAAATAATTATTATTTTATAAAATTAATCTACGGTGAGTAAATTTTAGGCTAACCTAACAAATTTTTGGTAACGGTTAAGTTTATTTAAGTCACAAAATAAATCAAGCTAATTTACCTTTCACAATTTATTTGAATTAACTTAACTTATTCCCGAGCCCATCAAATTAAACATAGTTTGATACCAAGATTACTTAAATAAAAAACAAAAACCAAAAATATAAAAACAAACAAATTAAGAAAAACCTATAATAATATTTTGTATTCTAATAAATTTACTAATTCTATAATTAGTCCTTTTAACTTTTTCCCTTTTACAATTTTTTATCCCTAATAAATTACTAAGTTAGTTCTCATAATTCACCCTATCATTAAATTATATTATCTCAATATTGATTCACTGTTAACTTTTCATGAATCGATTTAATATTTTCTATGAATATTTTGTTTGCAATAATATTTTATTATAATATATATATATATATATATATATATATATATATATTCCTTAATTTAAAAAATCCTATAATTCATTAAAGAAAAAAAATATCAACACTAAAATAAATAACTTAATAATATAAACCAAATATGAATATATATATATATATATATATATATATATATATATATATATATATATATATATATATATATATATATATATATATATATAACAAGATAAAAGAAAATTGAAAGAACAAACATAAAAATTAATAAGTATATCTAAAAAAAGCATTTAAGCCCTAAAAAGTATTGTAATAATTTGAAAGAGCTAAGATTGAATTGAAAGAGAAAAAAAAAAAAAAAAAAGACAAAAGTACAGATGCAATTTAAGGTATAAAAGATCAGAAAACCTCATTGGAGAAGCAAATAATTAAACTAAGGAGAGGGTAAATGAAACAAGAATTTATTTTGAGAAGTCAGGAGGTGCATGTTTGGTATGAATGTCTGTCTGTCTGTCTGGTCTACTAGATGTGGATAGTGAAGGTATTTACACAATTGCAATGTTAAAAAAAGAAATGGAATTAAAATAGATTGCGTTGGTTGGTTCATCTAAGTTCGCCTCCACCATTGCAGTAATGGATGCCATTGGTGCGTAGATTAGGGGGGTACTTTACATTGAGGCGCTTTAGGCCCCATATCCGAATTGTTCTATCATCACTGGCCGAGGCTAACATGTGAGGATTTGCTGGGTTCCAGCTCACACAGTTAACAGCTCCAGAATGACCAGGCAATGCCTCTACTAGATCCCCCGAGTTTCTGTGCCATATGTAAACCTACAACACAAACTATCATTAATAAACTCCATTTCCAATATATATGGAAAAGGAAAATCACGGGGCTTTTAAATTAATACCTGTGAATCCTCACTACCACTAGCAATAAAAGATTGCTTAAGACCACCAAAGCAAGATCTGACAATAAACCGGGTGCGTTTATGACTTCTGTACCTGCCAACAAGTTTAGGATCACCTTCTATATTCCACAGGTGTATTTCTTGGTTCAAAAGATTAGCCAACAAGAATCTGCTATCCTTTGACAAAGAGAAGGAAGTTATTGTCTGTTCTTCTTCAATAAATCTCTCTTCTTTCGTTTCTTTGTTGAAGAACAGTATTGCATTGTCTTTACAAATACTCAGAACGTGTTCCCCATCACCTGTTATTTCCAAGTCAGAAATCTTGAGAGTTCTCTGTCCTTTCCAACACTCCACTTCTTTCCCATCTAAATCCCACATGCAAATGCTCTTGTCACTGAGGCCAGAAAGTATATATTTCCCACTTGGAAACCATGCACACGAGACGAGACCAGGACCATTTTTTTCATAAACTTGCAGGCATTTACCGGTAGAGACATCCCACCGCCTAACAGCCTCTTCCACACCACATGTGAGGAGCTCTTGGTCATTAGGACTCCATGAAACAGAAGAAACAGATTTCAGGTGACCAGACAATTTATGCTTCATAGACAGTCCACCATTCATGTCAACCTATTAAAACAAAAGGCAAAAAGAAAAAATGTGAAACCTAATGCACAGCTTTAAGTACATTTTCATCGTGTGTGCTTGCACTGGCCAACACATGCTATATTAACATGCAAAGAAGCACCTCAAATGATAATTCCTATCAACAACCTTTCACAGAGTCAAGTAATGGAAGAGTCTCCTTCATTAAGTTCGTAAAAACAGTTGCTGAACTTCCAAGAGTGTGTTAGGACATATTTAGGACAAAGGAGTGCAAAGTGTCAGTGGTATATTACTTCAATAATTGTTTTAATTATTTGGATACATTACTTTAATAATTATTTTAACTAATTGGAAATAACGTAGTTATCAATTTCAGATAGCTGTGTAGGGTGGTCAACTGTGAAAACATTATAGCAAGATAAACAATTTTCACTACACATAATGAAACAAAAATAAACAAATAAATTTGTGCAAAAATTTAAGTCAAATTACTCACGATCACCAAAAATCTAGGAGCAATGAGAAGATAGCAATGCTGTTTGATTTATTAGATATTAAACAGACAGTTGTAACTAGTTTCTAGAAGCATGTGCATTTATGAGCTTTATTTGTACCTAATTTTTAGAATAGGTCTTTCCATTTTCCCTCTACTCATTATGTCAGTAAACTTCTATTATCAATAACAGCACCTAAAGGCGGGAGTTCATACTCTCTAATTACATATTTTTCCTTTTTTATCTTAAGTTGGTAACAGAGTGGTGGGTTGATCCTGCTTTGCCTGTCCCTCTCCCATGTAGCATAAACACTGCTTCAGGACCCGCAACCTCCTTTTCTGGGTATAGCAACTGAAAAGTTAAATAGAAAAATTATTTGTCATGGTCCGCTTCAATGGAACTCTAGTTCCTAGGTCAAGGATTCCATGCACCTAGGAAAAGGTGGAAGCACTGTTCCATTAGTGGAAAAAAATTGATTTTCAATTATGTGCTCTGCCAAATATTTTGAGCACTCTTAAATCCTTTAAAACATGTAATTCCTTTTGGAAAAAAGTCTTAAATCCTTTAAAACATGTAATTCCTTTTGGAAAAAAGCCCAAAACAACTATGCAAATAACATCCAATGTCGTTACGATTCTACTAATCGATCGGCCTCCCTCAAATAATCGACCAGCCTCCCTCAAAGAAACAAATAATGATATAATGATATGATGTCCTTTATTGCGTGAAGCTTAATCAACACTTGAATACTTGAAGATTTTGTTGGAGAAGATTCAATAGAAAAGATAAAGTGTATATTAGACAAATTTTATATGATTATGATTCTTCGAACCAAGAATCTAGATTTTGATCAAGTCAGATATCTGGTCAGAAGTTTTAACCCTCAAGAGTAAAAATGTTCTGAAACCATCTGAATCTTCTGTCATGATTTCTACTCGCAGAAGAGGATGTTGTGGCACTAGAGGAGGACGTGAAAATGCACCTATTTCAAGAAAATGCGCCAAGAAAATTGTTTACCTAACAAGACTGCATTTATTTCCAAAACATAAAAATTCTCTGAGGAGGAATATCAGGAATATTTGAAGTTGAAGTCCACTAACCAAGCACAAACATTAACAATTCCAAATTCGTCAACAACTTGCATTTCCCAATTTGTGGATTGTCAAAATCCATGAATCATTGACTCAGGTGCTTCTAATCATATGTTTGGTAATCCCTTATTATTCTATTCTCTTTTTTTCCGTAAAACTATTCATTTCATAATGCTAACAGTTCTAAATTAGCCTCTAAAGGATTTGATCATGTTTCCATTTCCCGTCTTAAACTTCATATTTGTCCTCTTTGTTCCTTTATGTCCCTTTAGTCTCATTTTTTTAAGTCAACTAACCAAATCATTGAATTTTTCAATAACCTTTAATGCCAACTTTTTTGTTATACAAGAACGTGATACAAGTCAACTGATTGGTAAAAGACATGAATCAAGTGGCTTATACTACTTGGAACTAAGTCATCAGTATCTTGTGTTGCATCTTCATCTTCTAAACTGTTTCATGAATGTATAGGTCATTCTCACTTGTTAAAATTGAAAAAGATGATTCTTGAACTGAGTAGTCTTCATACTTTGAAATGTAAATCATGCCCAGGGAAACATATTAGGTCTTCATTTCCAAAACATTTTGAAACTAGACGTGATTCCACATTTTCTATTATCCATTTTGATATTTGGGGATCCAATCATGTATCCTCATTTGGTTTCAAATATTTGGTTACCTTTATTAATTAGTTCTCCAGATGTACTTAGGTTTATCTAATGAAATATCGTTTTGAACTTTTGTCTATCTTCGTATCTTTCCTTAATGAAGTAAAAAATCAATTTGAAAAAAGCGATAATGCCAAAATATATTTCTCTATTGCTTTTTCCACCACCTTAAAATGACAATACATCTTACATTAGTCTACTTGTCCTCACACCCAAGCAAAATGGTATAACAAAAAGAAAAAATAGACATTTGATTGAAACTACTCATATCTTATTACTTCGTGCAAATATGCTTGTTTATCAATGGGGAGATGCTATCCTAATTGCCTGTTTTCTCATTAACAATATGCATTCTTCTTCCCTTGATAGTAAAGTCCATTCTCCATTCCATTTCAAAGGAACCACTTTTTCATGTTTCTTCCCATGTCTTTTGTTATGTACATTTTGTTCATAATATGTCTCCAGATTTAGACAAACTCTCAACTAAAGCTATCAAAAGTGCCTTTTTGGGATATTCTTGTCCTAAAAAAAGGATATTGTTGTTACTCTCCTGAAACCAAAAATACTATATGCTAGTTAGTTTCACCTTTTTCGAATCAACTCCACTCTTTCCTTTGTCTGCACAAGATATTAGTTTTGTCCAACTTGTCCTTCTTGTACATTAGTGGAGTCCTTGGTTCCCTTTGTTCCTGACAACCAAAATCCTATTCAAGATTCACTTGAATCCTCATCACCTCCTTTTATTACTTATCAACACAAGGACCAAATGCTTAATTCAATGTCCCAAGATGAGTCCTCTTCAAAGGTCCTCAATTATCACTTAATACCATGGCCCTTGATAATGATGACTCATGTTAGTCCATTGTCATTCGCAAAAATACTCGTTCTACTCAAAATCCACATCTTATTTATAATTTCTTTAGCTACCACAAATTATCTTCTTCATATGTTTTCTTTTATTATGTATTCTCTATTTCTATTCCTAAAAATGTGACCGAAGCACTTAACAAGCCATGATTTTTGAAATATAAGCTCTTGAACATAAAAGCACATGGGAGTTGGTTCTTCCTTTCGGAAAGAAAATTGTTGGATATCGCGGGTCTATACCATTAAGGTCGAATCTAATGGTGAAGTTGACTACCTCAAAGCTAGCCTAGTGGCCAAAGGGTACAATAAAATCTATGGTCTTGATTATGACGATACTTTCTCTCCTGTGGCCAAAATGACTATTGTGAGACTTTTCCTTGCCATCTCTACCATTTGTCATTGGCCTTTCCATCAACTGGATATTAAGAATACCTTCCTTCATGGTGATCTAGAAGATGAAGTCTACATCGAGCAACTTCCTAGCTTTATTGTTCACGGGGAGCCTGGTTTGATCTGGAAGTTGCGACGTTCTCTTTATAGTCTAAAGCAATCACTGCGTGCTTGGTTTGGAAAATTTAGTTCCATGGTTCAAGTGTTTGAGCTGAAACAAAATGAAGTAGATCATTAAGTCTTCTAATGTAACACCGTCCCTGAAAAATGTCTCATTAATTGTATATGTTGATATCTAGTCATTGTAGGTGTTAGAATTATTATTAGTTAGTAGTTAGTGGTTAGTAGTTGGTTGTTGTTGTTTTAAATGTTGTAATCCTATATATATATATGAGATCATAGAGTGGAGTAAGTATCCCACAAAATTAGAAATCTTCTTTTCATTCTCTTTACTCTCTTAACTTGGTATCAGATCAGGTTGGTCCTGCTCTGCCTGTCCGACCATTTTCCGGTCACCGTCCGACCATTTTCCGATCACCGTCTGGTCACTTTTCGGCAACCGTCAGTCCCCCGTCCAGTCACCTTTTTTTTTGCGGCCGCTCTACGACTTTCCGACCACCTTCCAGTAACCTTTCGACTATCTTGGGTGTTCTCTTTCTTACAGGTTCCATTGTCTCCATCTTACATCTACATTATTTAAAACATGTCGTTAGGGCCCACAACCTCCTTTTTCGGAACTCCCACGATAACGACTGAGAAATTAAATGGAAAAAATTATATGTCTTGGTCCTCTTCAGTGGAACTTTGGTTCCTTGGACAAGGGTTTCATGATCATCTAGAAGAAGACGGAAGTAAGATACCAGAAGATCAGGCTCAACAATGGAAAAAGCTTGATTATCAACTCTGTGCTCTACTGTGGCAATCAGTAGAACCAAATATTTTGAACACTCTCAGATCCTTCAAAACATGTAACTCTTTCTGGAAAAAAGCTCAGAATATCTTTGCAAATGATATCCAACGCCTCTATGATTCCACTAATCGATTAGCCTCTCTCAAGCAAGTGGATAAAGATATGATGACCTTTATTGCTGAAGCTCAATCAGCAGTTGAAGAATTAAAGATGTTCCTAGTGGTGGATTCGTTAGAGGAGATAAAGCAAAAGTTGGATAAATTCTATATGGTTATGACTCTCCGAACTATGAATTCAGAATTTGATCATGTTAGAGATCAAATTTTAATTGGACAAGAAGTTCCTTCTATGGAAAGTTTGACTACAAGACTGCTTCGTGTTCCAACTCTCAAAGAAAAAAATAATCAAGAACATGTTGAATCTTCTGCTATGATTTCTACCCGTGGAAAAGGAAGTATCGGCACTAGAGGAGGACGTGGAGATAGAGGACGTCCTCAGTGCACTCATTGCAAGAGAATGGGTCATACAGTGAAAAATTGCTACTCTTTGCACGGTTTTCCTGATAAAACTGTCAATTTTTCCAAATTGTGCTCAACGACAACCAACAGTCTTCTTCCCATGTGGAAGAGGAATTAAGTTCCATGTACCATTGTGCTCAAGAGCCTGCATTTCATCAATCATGGCTTGTCGCCATCCAGGATGATCAAGTGTCTCTTTCACATTTTTTGGAATAGTAATAGTGGATACAGAAGAAACAAAAGAAAAATAGGAAGGAGACAATCTATGGTAGCTAAGAAAATTGTAAATGCGATGTGGATTACGAGTAGAGCGAGTACCTTTGCAAATAACAATGGGCCAACTTGAGTCATCATTATCAGGAATCGTGGTATCAGGGTCATGGGATATGAGACTGATCATTTGGCTCTTGTGTTGATAGGTAATAAGAGGCAGTGATGAGGATTCCGGTGTATTTTGTGTGGAATTTTGGGTGTCAGGAGGAGGAGGTACAAATGGCTCCACTAAGGATATAGGCAGGACATTTTGGACCGAACTAATATCCTGCATAGAAGAAGGGAAGAAGGGAGTTGACTCAAAAAAAGTGACATTAGTAGACATGTAGTACCTCTTGGTTTCAGGAGAATAACATCGATATCCTTTTTGAAGACGAGAATATCCCAAGAAGACACATTTGATGGCTCTAGCTGATAGTTTATCTAAACCTGGAGACATATCATGAACAAAACATGCAACCAAATACACGAGGAGAAACATGAAAGAGTGGGTCCTTTGGCAATAGAATAGAGTGTGAAACTTTATTGTTAAGAGAAGAAGATGGCATTCTGTTAATGAGAAAACATGCAGTAAGAATAGCATCTCCCCAATGATGAACAGACATATTTCCACCGAGTAATAAGGTACGAGCAGTTTCAACCAAATGTCTATTTTTTCATTCTGCTATACCATTTTGTTGTGGTGTGTGAGGACAAGTAGACTGCTGTAAAATGCCTTGGGAGCTTAAGAGAGTAGAGGTATTCTTTGGCATTATCACTTCGTAAAACTTTGATTACTTTTCCAAATTGATTTTTGATTTCGTTAAGGAAAGACTTAAAGATAGGTAATAATTCAGAACGGTCTTTCATTAGATAAATCCAAGTACACCTAGAAAACTAATCAATGAAGGTAACAAAATATCTATAGCCAAAGGATGAGACACGACTAGGACCCCAAATATCAGAATGAACAAGAGAAAAGACAGAGTCACATCTAGATTCAGAACGTTTAGGAAAAGAGGACCTAGTATGTTTCCCTAGTTGACATGATTCACATTCAAAATCTTGAAGAGTTTGAAGTTCAGGAACCATTTTTTTTAATCTTGATAAGTGAGGGTGCCCTAACCGTTCGTGTAATAGTTTTGGAGACAAGGATGCAACACAAGATACAGATGATTTAGTCCTAAGGTAGTATAAGCCTCCAGATTCATGTTCTTCGCCAATCTGTCGACCCGTACCACGTTCCTGTATAACAAAAGAGTTGGCATTAAAGGTTACTGAACAATTCAATAATTTGGTTAATTGACTTAGGAAAATGAGACTGAAGGGACATGAAGGAAAAAAAAGAACAGATTTTAAGTTTAAAGACGGAGAAATGGAGACTTGACCAGTTCCTTTAGAGGCTACTTTGGATCCGTTGGCTAAGGTTATGAGATGAGGAGTTTTAGGAAATGAGAGAGAAGAGAATAAAGAGGTATTACCAGACATGTGATCAGAAGCACCTGAGTCAATAATCCATGGATTTTGACTTTCCACACATTGTGAAATGCAAGCTGTTGATGAATTTGGGGTTGTTGATGACTGTGCTAGATTACTGGATTTCAACCTCAAATATTCCTGATATTCTTCGTGAGAGAACCAGGGTTCAACCATTTCAGATTTGGAAAAATTGACAGTTTTATCAGGAAAACCGTGCAAAGAGTAGCAATTTTCCATTGTATGACCCATTCTCTTGCAATGAGTGCACTGAGGACGTCCTCTACCTCCACGTCCTCCTCTAGTGCCGCTACTTCCTCTTCCACGGGTAGAAATCATAGCAGAAGATTCAACAAGTTCTTGATTATTTTTTTCTTTGAGAGTTGGAACACGAAGCAGTCTTGTAGTCAATCTTTCCATAGAAGGAACTTCTTGTCCAATTAAAATTTGATCTCTAACATGATCAAATTCTGAATTCATAGCTCGGAGAGTCATAACCATATAGAATTTATCCAACTTTTGCTTTATCTCCTCTAACGAATCCACCTCTAGGAACATCTTTAATTCTTCAACTGCTGATTGAGCTTCAGCAATAAAGGTCATCATATCTTTATCCACTTGCTAGAGAGAGGCTAATCGATTAGTGGAATCATAGAGGCGTTGGATATCATTTGCAAAGATATTCTAAGCTTTTTTCCAGAAAGAGTTACATGTTTTGAAGGATCTGAGAGTGTTCAAAATATTTGGTTCTACTGATTGCCACAGTAGAGCACAGAGTTGATAATCAAGCTTTTTCCATTGTTGAGCCTGATCTTCTGGTATCTTACTTCCGTCTTCTTCTAGATGATCGTGAAACCCTTGTCCAAGGAACCAAAGTTCCACTGAAGAGGACCAAGACATGTAATTTTTTCCATTTAATTTCTCAACCGTTATCGTGGGAGTTCCGAAAGAGGAGGTTGTGGGCCCTTACGACATGTTTTAAATAATGTAGATGTAAGATGGAGACAATGGAACCTGTAAGAAAGAGAACACCCAAGATAGCCAGAAGGTTACTAGAAGGTGGTCGGAAAGTTGTCGAACGGCAGCAAAAAAAGGTGAATGGACGGGGGACTGACGGTTGCCGAAAAGTGGCCGGACGGTGACCGGAAAGTGGTCGGGCGGTGACCGGAAAGTGACCGGAAAATGGTCGGACGGTGACCGCAAAGTGGCCGGACGGTGATCGGAAAATGGCCGAACGGTGACAGGAAAATGGCCGGACGGTGGCCGGACAGGCAGAGCAGGACCAACCTGCTCTGATACCAAGTTAAGAGAGTAAAGAGAATGAAAAGAAGATTTCTAATTTTTTGGGATGCTTACTCCACTCTATGATCTCATATATATATATATATATATATATATATATATAGGATTACAACATTTAAAACAACAACTACCAACTACTAACAACCACCAACCACCAACTACTAACTACTAACCACTAACTAATAATAATTCTAACAAAAACCAGTACAAATTAATACTTATGATAGTTTTTCTAATGATGAGTGAATTATGGACAATGAAGATAAGCTTGGGGAAAATGGATTAGGTTTGGATCAAACTACATCTCAAGATGATTTAGACATTACTAATTTGAACGGTGAAAGAGATGGAATTAGAAATGGAGTTGAAGATCTCCTAAGAAAATATGATTTAAACTTGCAAGATTATTTGCTTTAGATGGATTATTGTTTTGTAACTGGGATAAAAATCCTATTTGGTAACTAATGTTTTGTTATTATGAGGGATTTATGGTTTACATCTATTGACTTACTATTTTTTGTGCTTATTATATTGTTTTTTACTTATATCAAATTGAAGTTTAAATATTTAACATATATATGAATTTCATAAACTGTTTTGATCCCCCAATTTATGATTTATACTTCCCTTTTTTATATTGAATAAGATTCGATTTTGACTACCTTGGTCGTGATCACCATCAATATATTAAAAAATCTACGTTCTTCCATTGCTTTTTGTCTCCTTTTAGATGGAAATCAATCTGGTCTACCTTCTATGCGCTCTTGCTTTCACTATACCTGTAGACTACACTCAATCTCACAACCAGAAGTCACATCTTTGAGATGGTTTACTGTCTTTAAACACATCATAGTGTTAGGGTTATTCTCTTTCACTATTTCCAATGAAACATGACCTATACATTGCAAAAGTAAAGAAACAGGAATGATAGAATTGGACGTTGTTGAACTTGGAATCATGCTGAAGGATGCAGATAGATATCTTTCCTAGTCATAATATTCTATTTGTGTGACTAGAATATAATATTACAGCTGATCCGTGCATTGAGGGTCTGATGAAAAAAATAGAACAGTAGCGTATGATTAGCTATCAGATATTACCTCCCAAATGATTGCAGATCGATCATTTGATGCTGAAGCTAAATATTTCCCATTATGGGAAAATTGAACATACCAAACTTCATCATCATGTGCTTCTAATATCTGCAATATTTGCAGGAAAAGAAAATAACATCAGAACATAAATGTCTTATATGCCATGAAAGTAATGTAGGATGATTATTGTAAAAATAAAAATTTGTGTTTTCCATTCATCCTTCAAAAGACATTGCAATAAATAAAAATTTTGGATCAATATGAGACAACAGAAAGGTAAAACAGACCACATAAGCCAGAAAAGGGGGATAGTAAAGACTCTAAAAATGCAACCTTAAATATGTTGAAGTATTTATTAGATTAAATGTATCTTGTTGGACATTTATGAGATTAGTTGTAAATCTAGTTCCTAGAATGCATCTGTTTATCTTCTCTAGGATTAATCATGTCTCTCTATTAATTGTATCTCTGAATCTGTATTTTTATCTCCTATAAATAAGAGAACACAAGAAGATGATTTCAGGTTCTCAAAATCAGTTCTTTATTTTCTTTTTTTCTATTTCAAGTTGGTATCAGAGCGGGTTCATCCGCTCTGCCTGTCTCTGTTTTTTTTTCTGGCATTAATCGCCGTTCACTGCCATCCGCCGCCGTCCGCCGTCGGTGTTATCTTCTCCAGCGCCTTTTTCCTCTCTGATACTTGGGTTTGGCTCGCCTCGAGGAGCGCGACCCAACCCCAGTGTTCGCTTCCTCTATCTCTGCCTCACGCGCCACCCTCGTCTGCGGCTTCCTCCGCGCGTGGGCCTCACGCGCCGCCCTCTCGGTGGCTGTTTTGCTCCAAGCCACCTCTATCCGGCTCGCCTCGTCGCCCTGGTGCCAGATCTGCACTTTGTTTTGTGTTCTCGGTCACAAAACGTGGTGGGTCTGCGTTTTTCTCTCTGCCTCTCTCGGTCCTCTCTCTGACAGCACGCTGGTCCCTTCTCGTTTCTTGGAAAATGTCAGGATCTGTGTCTGTATCTTTTTCTGGGACTCCGACTATAACCACAGAAAAATTAAATGGGAAAAATTATTTGTCTTGGGCTTCCTCTGTTGAACTCTGGTTTCTAGGTCAAGGAGTTCATGATCATCTAGAAGAAGATGGAAGTACTATACCAGCAGACCAAGCTCCTCGATGGAAGAAACTGGATTATCAACTTTGTGCACTATTATGGCAATCTGTTGAACCACATATTTTGAGCACTCTTCGAGCCTTCAAGACATGTAATTCTTTTTGGAAAAAGGCTCAAAATATCTTTGCTAATGATATTCAACGACTTTATGATTCTGCTAATAGACTAGCCTCCCTTAAGCAAGAGGATAATTCCATGATGTCCTTTGTTGTTGAAGCTCAGTCAGCTGTTGAAGAATTAAAAATGTTCCTGGAGGCAGAATCATTAGAAGAAAGGAAGACGAAGCTGGATAAATTCTATATGGTAATGATTCTTAGGGCTATGAATCCAGAGTTTAATCATGTTAGAGACCAGATTCTAACTGGAGAAGAAGTTCCTTCTACGCAGAGTTTAATCACAAGGCTACTTCGTGTTCCTTCTATCAAAAGCAAAAACAGTCAGGAACTTGCTGATTCTTCCGCCATGATTTCTGCTCGTGGAAGAGGTAATCACAGCTCTAGAGGACGTGGTGGGAAAGGACGTCCTCAGTGCTCTCATTGCAAAAGAATGGGACATACTAAGGAAAATTGCTTTGCTCTTCACGGCTTTCCTGATAAGGCAGCTAATACCTCAAAATCTGAAGTTGATGAGCCCAAGTTCTCTCATGAAGAGTATCAAGAATATTTAAGGATGAAATCAACCAATTTGGCTCAAGCATCTACAACACCAAATTCGTCAACCGCTTGCATTTCGCAATCTGTGGAAAGTCAAAATCCATGGATTATTGACTCAGGTGCTTCTGACCACATGTCTAGTAATACCTCTTTATTTTCCTCTCTTTCATTTCCTAAAACATCCCATCTCATATCTTTAGCTAATGGATCTAAAGTAGCCTCTAAAGGAATTGGTCAAGTATCCATCTCTTCTTCTTTAAACCTTCAAAATGTTCTTTGTGTTCCTTCTTTTCCATTCAGTCTTGTTTCTGTAAGCCAATTAACCAAATCATTGAATTGCTCAATAACCTTTAATGCCAATTGTTTTGTTATCCAGGAACGTGGTACGGGTCGACTGATTGGAGAAGGACATGAATCTGGAGGCTTATACTACCTTAGGACTAAGTCTTCTGTATCTTGTGTTGCGTCTTTATCCCCAAAACTGTTACATGAGCGATTAGGGCATCCTCATTTAGCAAAATTGAAAAAAATGGTTCCTGAACTTCAGAACCTTCAAACTCTTGATTGTGAATCCTGTCAACTAGGGAAACATACCCGGTCATCCTTTCCAAATCATTCTGAATCTAGATGTGATTCTGCTTTTAGTATTGTTCATTCAGATATATGGGGACCTAGTCGTGTTTCATCTTTTGGTTTTAGATATTTTGTTACTTTTATTGATGGATTTTCTAGATGTACTTGGGTTTATCGTATGAAAGATCGTTCTGAACTATTGCCTATCTTTAAGTCTTTCCTTAATGAAATCAAAACTCAATTTGGAAAAGTAATCAAAGTTTTACGAAGTGATAATGCCAAAGAGTACTTTTCTAATGATTTTTCTAATGTCCTAAATTCTCAAGGCATTTTACACCAGTCCACGTGTCCTCACACACCACAGCAAAATGGTATAGCAGAACGAAAAAATAGACATTTGGTTGAAACTGCTCGTACCTTATTGTTGGGTGCCAATATGCCTATTCATCATTGGGGAGATGCTATTCTAACTGCATGCTATCTCATTAATAGAATGTCATCTTCTTCTCTTGATAATAAAGTTCCACACTCTATTCTATTTCCAAAGGAACCAATTTTTCATGTTTCTCCTAGGGTATTTGGATGTATATGTTTTGTTCATGACATGTCTCCTGGCTTAGATAAACTCTTACCTAGAGCTATCAAATGTGTCTTCTTGGGGTATTCTCGTCTTCAAAAAGGATATCGGTGTTATTCTCCTGAAACCAAGAGGTACTACATGTCTGCTAATGTCACCTTTTTTGAATCATCATCCTTCTTCCCTTATTCTATGCAGGATATTGATTCTGTCCAAAATGTGCTTCCTGTTCCCTTAGTTGAATCAGTTGTACCTCCTATTTCTGACCAAAATACTCTAGAATCAGCATCACAGCCTATCATCACCTATCAACGCAGGAACCAGGTGAACAATCCCATTCCCCAAGATGAGTCATCCATAACAGGTCCTTCACCATCATCCTCTAATACCACGGCTCCTGATAACGATGATTCCAGTTGGCCCATTGTCATTCACAAAGGTACTCGTTCTACTCGTAATCCTCATCCCATTTACAATTTTCTTAGTTATCATAGATTGTCTCCTTCCTATTGTTCTTTTATTTCCTCTGTCTCCTCTATTATAATTCCCAAAAATGTGGTCGAAGCGCTTGATCATCCTGGATGGCGACAAGCCATGATTTCGAAATGCGAGGCTCTTGATCACAGCAAAACTTGGGAGCTTGTTCCTCTCCCTTCGGGAAAGAAAACAGTTGGTTGTCGTTGGATCTATGCTATTAAAGTTGGGCCCAATGGTCGGGTTGATCGTCTTAAAGCAAGGTTAGTGGCTAAAGGGTATTCTCAAATATATGGACTTGATTATTGTGATACTTTTTCTCCAGTAGCCAAAATGACCACTGTCCGCCTGTTCCTTGCCATGGCCGCCATTCGTCATTGGCCTCTTCATCAATTGGATATTAAAAATGCTTTTTTGCACGGTGACTTAGAAGAAGAAGTTTACATGGAGCAACCTCCTGGATTTGTTGCTCAGGGGGAGTCTGGTTTGGTTTGTAAATTACGTCGATCCCTCTATGGCCTAAAACAATCTCCACGGGCTTGGTTTGGAAAATTCAGCTCTATTGTTCAAGCTTTTGGATTAAAACGCAGTGAAGCAGATCATTCGATGTTTTATTGTCACACTTGCCCTGGCAAACATGTTTATTTAATTGTGTACGTTGATGATATTGTCATCACAGGGAATGATGCTGCTAAAATATCTCAGTTAAAAGAGCACTTGAGTAGTCATTTTCAGACCAAGGATCTTGGAAATCTAAAATATTTCTTGGGTATTGAAGTAGCTCAATCAAGAGAAGGTATTGTCATCTCTCAAAGGAAGTATGCTCTAGATATTCTAAAAGAGACAGGTATGATTGATTGCAAACATGTGGACGAGTCCTATGGATCCAAATTTGAAGTTAATGGCGGGACAGGGTGAAGTTTTCTCGACCCGGAAAGATATAGAAGACTGGTTGGAAAACTTATTTATTTGACGATTAGTAGACTCGATTTGTCTTTTGCAGTTGGTGTTGTCAGCCAATTTATGCAAGCTCCTTGTGTGGATCATTGGAATGCTATCATTCGAATCTTAAGATACATTAAAAAAGCTCCAGGACAAGGATTATTATATGAAGACAAGGGAAATACCCAAATTTTTGGGTACTTGTGATGCTCGATCTGGCTGGATCTCCTATGGATAGGCGTTCCACTACGAGGCTATTGTGTTTTCATTGGAGGAAATATCATTTCATGGAAAAGCAAAAAGCAAAACGTTGTTGCCCGATCCTCTGCTGAAGCTGAATATAGGGCAATGGCGTCTCTTACTTGTGAACTTGTTTGGGTAAAACAATTCTTGCAAGAATTGAACTTCGTGAGATTCAATCTATGAAGATGTATTGTGATAATCAAGTCGCTCTTCACATTGCTTCCAACCCAGTATTTCATGAGGGGACCAAGCATATTGAGATTGACTGTCATTTTATTCGGGAGAAATTGTTGACTAAAGAAATTTGTACTGAGTTTGTTGGTTCCAATGAGCAGCTTGCAGATGCATTAACAAAATCTTTGAGAGGACCTCGAATGGAATTCATTTGTTCCAAGCTTGGTACATTCAATTTGTATGCTCCAGCTTGAGGGGGAGTGTTGAAGTATTTATTAGATTAAATGTATCTTGTTGGACATTTATGAGATTAGTTGTAGATCTAGTTCCTAGAATGCATCTGTTTATCTTCTCTAGGATTAATCATGTCTCTCTATTAATTGTATCTCTGAATCTGTATTTTTATCTCCTATAAATAAGAGAACACAAGAAGATGATTTCAGGCTCTCAAAATCAGTTCTTTATTTTCTTTTTTTCTATTTCAAGTAAATATATGAGCTAACATAGGATTATCTGATAACTTCATTCACTGATAAAACTGCACACAGCTAATCCAATACAGTTTCAGATAGCCATTAACAAAACTTGGTATAGAATCATCAAAGCATACATTATCACCAATGTAAATCTGCTAATCATATGGTGACTCCACATGGATCAGCCAACATTAATGATACCTTGCAATGACAAAACCAAAAGTCCTGAGACAAAAAGCTTTAATTTCAAATTATATCTAAACCATTACTAAGAAGATTAAGTTTAATATTGTATCTTAATCATAAACTAATTTGAAGTGGCCGCTTAAAATTTAGGTGAGCACAAAAAGCAACTAGTAGGGGAACTTGGCCACTATGGGTGTCTACTCCTACATCAAGTAGTATGGGATGCTCGATGGGGTATTTGACTGGTTGGTTGTCCCCCCTTAACAACTAGCTTTTAAGGATGGGTTTCCCAAATCTTATTTAAGAAAAGTTTTACTACCATCTTGAATTTGGGTTAGGCCTCAACCCCAAAAGCTAGCTCATGAGGAGAAGATTGTCCAAGCATTGACAAGCTATGTTTATAGTCAACATGGATCTCAATGAGGCCTAACACCACCAATGGTATGCAGATAAAAAGTTTAACCTTAAAAAATAAAGCTCTGAAAAGGTTTTAACCTCAAGTAATCTCTGGAAGTACTACCATGATACAGAATGTAGCATACATTACCAAGCAGAAAGATCGCAGATAGAAGAAAAATAGCAAATATTCCCATGGAGAACAATTATAGTCTATATGTGATTTTAAGAAGAAAGATTATATAGGGAAAAAATAGTCGGAACCCAATCAGCACCTATTTGTGACTGAGAAAGTGAGGAGTAACTTTGTAAAGTATTCAGCAGGCTTTGACTGTCACATGCTAAGTCCCAGACTTATAATCAGTGTTATTTTATTGTTGTGAAAAATCATAGACCTGAAGTAAGCTTTAGCATCCAAAAAGACTACTGATAGAGAAGCTTCAGGTTTACAAGTACAACTTATGCTATACAAAATGGCTTGATATCATTTTCTTATGATAAAAGATCAGCATCTATGACAATTAGTGCGATACTACTATCAACAAAATGTTATTTGGTGGTCTCTCTACAAAATTTCTCATCGAAAATGCATCTCATCTAAGCAAAAGAGAAAAATATCCACATCAAGTATACCATAATCACAGTCATTGGCCAGATGTCAAAAAGAAAAATATTCACAAAATTTAGTACTTCAAAACATCAGTTTATAATTAGTGCAATTATTGAATATAACAAGACAAACTGGTAAACTTCCATATAGTGGTTTCATCATATAATCAAGATGTTGGCATAGAGAGAAAAAAAAAAAAACAAAAAACAAAAAACAGAAAGTAAAGAAACAACAAGTGGAATGGTCAATTTGGTCCTTCAAAATGCATGAAAATTTAAATTTAATTTTAGAATTTAAATAAATTAAGTCCTTGAAAGTAACTTCAATCTCTCTTAATCAGTTTTCATTTCATGTAAGTCTCTACATGTTATCATTAAAAATGTAATTTAGTCTCTCTATATCATGATAAAATACAATTAGTCTATGTGTAGGGACTAAATTACATTTTATCAATAATATGTAAGGGACCTGATTGAAACAAAAGTTACTTTTATAGATTATTATTTATTAATATTCTGGAATTAACTAGAAAAAGAGCAAAAAGACCATTCAGCCAAAAACACTAAGTAAACAGCAATAGAGAGAACGATGTTGCCACCAATGCCTATCAAGTAACTAATAAAGATGTTGCAGACAACTACCCTGAGGTTGAAAGTATAACGTTAAATATAAAGGTTCCCATATAAAGCTCTCACAATATAGAAATGTCGTTTTCTAACCTGTAATGTTCTAGAAGGTATCTGAGTTTTTCCACAGTGATGATCTGAATACAATGACATCTCTTTATCCATTGAGTTGTGAAATAGGCAAGCCTCTCGTTGCAAGATAAGAGCTTGTTCAACTAGATGTTCCAATCTCTTTTCAGGTATCAGCACTGTTGGGGGAAGCAGATTTTGCAATTCCTCCAGCAGTTTTGACCGAGACCTCACCTGTACAATATCTAGCCTCGAAGAATCAACCTGGCCACATGGAGAAAGCATGCAGGAAGAAAGTTGACGAATTCTACTACTATCAGCGCAAAGAGGTGTAATCTCAGTCCTCAATGTCTTCAATGCATCCATGACCTTTTCCCCATCAAGAAGTTCAAAAAACTTCTGCTCCAATATTAAAAAAGAAGCTGCCCGGAGAACATTTTCATCTGATAGACCAATTTTATTCAATGTGACCACGCTCTCATCCCAATGGCCATCAAGTATTTGCTGCATAAACAGATTCACCTCAGACGAGTGCAGAGGTATGCCAGACTCCTCTTCTAGGCGTGCCCCGCTCTTCTTGTAACCAAGCGAATACAATGCCTTTGTGATTATCCTAACAAATTCCTCTCTTTTTATAACCCCTTTGGGACCAATAACGTCGCCGTCCCCTTCAGATGACAGGGGCCGCGCCATCAAGTCGCTTGAAGAGCCTCCAACAGGCTCCACTGACGACGAACCGTTTGAGAGACCAACTAATCCTTTAGAGGATACTTTCATTCGTTTCAAAGCTGGTTCTTCATCCTCCACACCTCCCATGAAAAGCACACCTCAGCCCATATATAACAATTTTCCACCAGTGAGCCAAAAAACCAGTACTGCAGGACAGTAACAAAAAATGCCTCTAGAAAAATCGCATGCCAGATTTCCTGCACGCACAAAAACAACAACAAATCACCAAACACCATAAAACTCATCACAAGAACCACAAACCAAACCAGCAAAAGTAAATTCGTCAAAATAAATCCACATCAAACATAATACCACACACACTATTCCCCTCCAAAGCATTACTTCCACCAGATTCCAATCCCTAAACACGAGAACTACGCTAGCACACCCCGAAAAACTAACGAACTCGGAAATTATGAATACCGAAACCTACTTTCTCAACAGAATCGGAAAATGAACCGAACGACAACAAGACGCAACAATCGGCGACAAAAATCGCAGATCCATGAACTGTAAAAACGTAAGAACGCGGCGGCGACGATCCACCGACTTACCGGAGAATCAAGAGCAGCGATCTGAAGTTCGCCGGCGCCGATGAGCGATCGCCGGTGGAGCACCGCCGATTCCTCCTTCCGCGTGTTTCCTCGTTCTGCGCTACGCACCGTTTCTTCTCTTTTTCTCCCTGCAGTTACCGCAGCAAAAGAAAGAGATTATGGTGTGTGGATATGTGTTTATATAGAGATAAATTTTTCATCAATTATTCCACTGAATTTCTCTTTTTTTTTTTCTTTTCTATTTTCTCTTTTCCTTTCTTTGCAATTCTCTAATCTAATCTATAACCTTCTTCTGCTCTTGGTCTCTCACCCCATTACCCTTTGCTATTTGTCTATGTGGTTTGGTTTTTTCAATTATTTGGGCTTTTGGTTTGGTATATACCTAGCTTCCATCCTACTAAAATCAACTATTGCATTTTTGTTCCCCTTTGTACCAGTGGAAATTCCCTTCTTGTTATATGCATTGTATGAATAAATTATTAAATTTCAACCACCAAATACAAACTGAATATCATAGATAAATGTTATACTTGAAAATAGCATACACTTAAAAATAAAATAAAAATACCTAGTTTGGATATTTAATGTGCATTTCTCAAATAATACACTTTTTCAAAAAATTTACACTAATAGAATTCATCAAACTAATCTACTGTGGAAGTTCTCAATTTGGTTTTGAATTATCGAAGTCTGATCTCCAAAATGTTCAATCAACACCAAAAAGTCAGTCAAAATTTACAGGAACTGAATTTTGAACTGGATTTGTAATTTTCTTATTTTTTTTACATTTTGAATTGGTTTTTTAATTTCAAAATATGATATTATATAAGTTAAAAAACTATAAAATTAAATTTTATATGTATATAATTTTTTTATTGATATAAGAAATATATATATATGTCTATATAAACTTATATATATATAACATTAATTATTTGTATAAATATTAAGTAATAATATTATATTAATAAATTGAAATTATACTTATTAAAGAAACTAAATGAAAATAATTTGTGTATAGTATTTATTTTATATTCATAAAATATAAAAATAAAGAAAATTTAATTAAATTTTATATAATGATAAAGAAAAATCACGTAATAAAAGATTCTTCAACTGTTTAGAATATTTAATATAATTCTTATTTAAAATTTTGATTAAAATATTAGGAATTTAAATGGATAGTGTATAACTTCATATTATATATATATATATATATATATATATATATATATATATATATATATAAAGAATAACTAAAATATATTTTTTCTTAAACATAAAATATAAATAAACATAATTAAAATAAAAACAATATATGATAGAAAGGAAATTGAGAAATATAATTAAGGTTATACTTGTTTGTTTTAGCAAATGTAAACCGTGTCATAGTATGTTTGTGAATGTGTGTCTTATCTTTGAAATTCTAAATTATTTTTTCGTGTCTTTTTAATTTGTACAAAACAATTCAATTTTATTCTGATTCTTCCCATTACATGGTTGGAGAGATTGTGTGTTTTCCACTACTTCATCATATGGGTCATGTCAACGCCAATTTTAATCTTTAATAAGTGTAGATGATTTTTTTTTTCATTTGGAGGTAAATATTAATAGGTGATTTTATTTATTTGTTTATTATCTTTGTAATCAAGTACTTCAATCACCTTCTCAAATAGTTAAGAAAAAAACCATGTATATGGATCACCATTATTTTAAGGGTACAAATGTAAAATCGTAACCATTAAAACTTTCAATGATGTTGGCACTTAAGATAAGACCACTAAAGTAAACTATAATTTTAAAGAAAGTGATGTTGTTGTAGTTTGCAATAAAGGTAGGTGTAATGGGTTTAAAACCATTATTATTTTTTAGTAGATATTTTAGGTTGTGTTTGTTTTTAGTGATTTACTATTTATGCAGATGGAAAATAGAGTATTGAATACATTTGTTTCAACTGATTTCAGAAGATATGCGAGCAGTGATTTTAGGGAGACTGGGATGAAATATCCTCTGCTTGAATGATGAGATTACCTAAGAAACACAGTTCATTGAATGTCCATTTACATTTTTGTCCCTCTTCATCTCTATTGTGCATGGAATCTAGAAACAATGATCAATCAAAAAAAGTTTTGCATGCATGTAGAGATTCATCCGGACGCACTAAGGAATCATTGCAGAGGACTACACAACCACATACATTCATGTTCATCCACAATGGAGACAAGGCCCACACCGCGTTGACTGCGACCATGAACCATGGTAGGTGGAGGTTGGGTGTCATTAAATATCCATGTGAGGAGGCCAGTGATACATTGCTCTCTCATTTGCATTGAGGTTGACGGTGGTTCTTGTTTGCATAAGGGTGGGCATTGGTGGCTATGGTTTGGTTTTGGTGTGTGTCGTGTGTTAGTGGGTGAGAGTGGTCGAGAGAATCATTGTGGGTGTTGTGGAGAATCAATTCTCTACGAGTTGAAAATTGATTCTAGCTCATGAAAAATGATTGTCATTTATGAGAATTGATTCTCAACGAACAAGAATTGATTCTCAACGAACAAGAATCGATTCTCATCCCCCTTGTTCCAACAATTTCCATTCATCGTGGCTAGAATTAATTTTTGAGGAGAATCGATTCTCGACCAATGCAAAATCGATTATTGACGGCTAGAATCGATTCTCTCCTTACGAGAATCGATTCTCGGTCAAGTCTTCTTGCAACAAGAATCGATTCTCGTGTGTGTGAGTTGTGTTTTGCTTCAACCATTGATGAATGTTGTCTTCTTGCCGGTTTTTAACGATGATCACTAAGTGGTGCGATGCTCATGGTCTCATCGTGGTGCTGGTATAGCTCTTTGTCATGTGGTGGTTTCTGTACAGTTGGTCTCGTCCTATTGCTCCTGCTTTATGTTCGTTCATCCTTGATGGTCGTGCTTCTCATGTGCTAGTGGTGGTGCTCGTCATCGTGGTCATGTGGTGTTAGTGCTCGTTGAAAGTGATGAAGATCTTATTGAACCTTATGATAGAATGAAGATTTTGTGGATTTGATGAAGTCAAAGGCTACTTGGGTTTAAGGGTAGAGGATTTAGTGAGTCATCATCAATATTAATAGATATTCATTCATATCTCTTTGCTGCATGAGGTTTGATCATTTAAAAGAATTTGAAAATGCCTCTAAAAATATTTTAATCTGTTAAAAATAAATATTAAATTGTTCTTAAGAAATAGTTTTAATTGATACTATATAAGGTTAATCGATTAAAATGAGTTAGGAACATTCATAACAGAATTTTAACTGATATATTTTCGAAATAATCGATTAAAACCATTTAAAACATTCACTGGAACTGTTTTAATCGATATATACTTGAATTAATCGACTATTTTCATTAAAGAAGTATTTGAAAACTTTCTGTCAGTATTGTAACTGATATAACTTCGAATTAATTGATTAAAATCACTTGAGAAGTATGAAAAAATGTTTTGTCAGTATTTTAATCGATGTAACTTTGAATTAATCGATTAAAACCACTTGAAAAGTTTTGAAAAGTGTTATGTCAGTATTTTAACTGATATATATTCGAATTAATCGATTAAAATCACTTGAAATGTTTTGAAAAGTGTTATATCAGTATTTTAATCGATGTAACTTCGAATTAATCGATTAAAATCACTTGAGATATTTTGGAAAATGTTCTGTCAGAATTTTAATCGATGTAATATCGAATTAATCGATTAAAACAACTCAAGGAAATTTTTGTCAAATGTTTAATCAATTAAAACTTGCTTTTATCAGTTAAAATCACTTATGAAGTTTTGAGAAATTGTATGACAATATTTTAATCGATTAAAACGTCGTTGCATCGATTAAAATAAATCGGAAAATGATTAAGCACATTTTAACCAATTAAAAGAAAAATTAATCGATTAATCAAGATTTAATAATTAATTAAAAGAAAGTTTTAAGCTGATTAATTAAACCGAGTAGTTGAAAAATAACTCTATATAAACGAGGATTGCTTCGAGCGTTTTAATATATCTCTTTGAGTAATCAATCAAGCAATCATTAGAGAAGTTTTTCAAGAAAGAAGCGCGCCACTTTTGTGAAGTTTTTAAAAGTTCTTTCTTGAGACATTTTTACATTCTTGCATGTGAAGAAACTCATTCTGCAAGAGTTGCATTATCCGGGTTTGATTGTTCTAGTTTCTTCTCTTTGTTTCTTTTCGATTCTTTACTATATTATGGGTGTCTGGAAGAGTTGGGCACTGGTTCTGTAGCTAGAATTTGGCTGCAGATTGGTTCAAGAACTGAAACTTGGTTCTTGGTGAAGGTTTGGTGCAAGAACTGGAATTTGGTTCTTGGTGTGAATTGGGTGTTTTGTGATTCGGGTTTGTAATCAGAGACATAATCAATCTAGTGGAACTCAATTGGAATTTGGTTGAGAACTGGATGTAGTCCTGTGGTTTGGGTGAACCAAGTATAAATCTTGGGTGTCTTTCTCTAAACCTTTACTCTCTTTTATTCTACTTGTACATTACATAGAATTGTTTGCTTTTTCTTAATTCAAAACTTGATCAAAATTCATAATCTTTGAAATAGATAATTTGTTTGTTTAAAAGTGCGAAAATCTTTCAAAGATCAATTCACCCCCCTCTTGATCTCAACCTACATTTCTAACACTCGTGGCATTGTGGAGGTCGCATGGTGGTAGTGTTGGTGCTTCTCGTGTTGTAGGTGTTGTTGGCATTGTTCATAGTGGTGCTCCCGGTTGTTGTTCGTCGTGCTTGGTGCTGATTCTTGGTGGTTGTTTATGGTGGTAGTCATCTTGTTGTTGTTGGTGGTGTTGGTATCATCCTTCGTGCTGTTGGTGTTGCAATTCAAAGGTAAGTTGATTATAGGTTTAATTTTTTTCTTATGCACTTAATTAATAATATGAATTTATTATGAAAAAATTATAATGATATTAGAGTAAGTTAAATTAAGTTAATTGTAATGATATTATAGAATGTTTTAAGTTACATTAAGTTAGATTATGTGATAAATATTTGAATTTAGAAGTGAGATTGAGATTGAAGTAGTTATTTAAGTTAGACGTAGGTATAAAAAGTATTAATTATATTTAGTGAAAGCAATGAGGGAGAGATTGATAAAAATGTTCATGCATTCCCAAGAGATGATTTTGATGATGATTCAAGTCAACTACATTCAAGTCAACACCATTCAAGATGAATTTAAGGACAAGTTGAATTTATGACGTAGGTGACAATGTGAAACATTTCCATACATGCCCAATATATGTTTTTGATAAAGATGATGATTCA